ATTCTTTTTATTAATCAGTTAATGAAATTTTTTTACCTAAACTGTATTTAAGATTAATAACATGTTTTTAAACTCCAACTTTAATAATACTTTTTAAATTTTATTGACTTTCTTAAATAACAATTCTAAAAATTGTGAAAGCGTTAAAAAATAAAAACTTCTCTCAAAAACTTGATATCATCAATATTTATTTAACGCTAAAGTTAAAAAGTAAATATTCAAAAAAAGAAGAATGTGGAATATAAATTAAATATAGAATTATAAATAAATTTTGATCGAATGTGTATTAAAATCATAAGATCAATAATGAATAAATTTAAACCAAAAACTTATAATATAGAATTTTAAATTGAATAACCAAATAAACAAGATATTTGAAATGATAACATAAATTCTTGCAAAACTCACCCTTAAACTTAGGATTAGGATTAATATAATTAAAAAAAGATAAATTTTGAAAACTTTAGATGATCTGTATAAATTAAATTTTGATAGGCTTTAGTTATTAGATATTCACAAAGCTATAGATAAAGATTATTTGAAAAGATAGATTGGTTTCACTAGGCATTTTATTATAAAGTGATTGAAATTATTTTTAAATAAAAGCAGTTACCCTGTTTTCAAATATAAAAAAAAAGATTATTTCAATTAAGTATTTTTTATGGTAAAGAGGTAAAACCAGAAAATTGAGTAAAGTGGAATTTGTTTTAGAATATATAGATAATCAACAAATTATGAAAAAGAAAAAGGAGTTTAAGCATTAGAGGGATCATAAAGAAAGATTTCATATGAAATCTATGATGGAGACATTTCAATTAATGCATTAGGACATTAGAATAAAAAATAATTATGATAACTAAGCTCACTTATAAGAAATCATAATCAAAGTTTAAAGTCTCTAAACATAACTTCAGCTAATTAACAGAATTATAAATCCAAAATTTATAAAACGAGTATCAAAATGGGATTAAAACTAAATGATCCCTATCTCGATTAGAAATCTTATAGAAAACCAAGTTTAGTAAACAATGATTAGCATGATCACTCTCAATTATTCTTAATTAACAAGGCTAATCCTACACAATAGAACCCTTAACCTGATGATCCAAATTGTTTTATTATGAATTATTATAGGTTCCACTTATTAATACAATGTGATTTTATAAGATGGTATTATTATAAACTCTTTATTTTTTCATCCTCATTCATTTTTAGTTTTTTTGATGACTATCCATCTAAAAGAGCTTTCTGTTCTAATTAAATTCAGTAATTCATTAAGTACCTCATTAATGAAAATTAATAATTAATAAAAACCCAAAATACACTAAAATTTAGATTCTAATCCATTAAACATAGAAAATTAACTATCTTTTTTATTTTGTTATCGAATTTCATAATTTTTACTTTATAATCTAAAGAACTTAAGGATCCATTAAGATCACATAAAAAATATGGCTATATTAATTATGAACAAAGATATATTATTTGCTTTAGCAGGCCATATGCTTAAAAAAAATATGTAGACACATATGCGATGATCATTGCTAATAATTTTACTAAACCTATTTTAATGAAAAAAGACTTTTATTAAAACCAAATAGCAAATACTGGAACTGCTTACTCTAGAGGATGCTCATAAAATTATAAAACAAAAATTAGAATCCACAAGGGAAGTAAAGTTGAGAAAAAATATAAAAAATTTGAGAAAAAATGCAACTTCAAATTATTAACTTAAAAATTGCAAAAAATTGCTTTAGAATTAGGAAATTTGGTTAAACCTGCATTTTGGGCAGGATATTTAGGAATTTCAATTGGAAGAGCTAAATATTTATAAAAGTATGTTTTACAGAAACCTGATTTACAAAGACAATAACTTGCATTTACATTTGATGCATAACATTAATTGTGGATTTAAAAATTTGTAGCTCAAGAAAATATCGCTCACTTAAGCAGTGCAAAATAAATCATTTAAGAATTTATAGCAAATTTTCATATTTGCATATAGCAACTGCAGTTTCATTATTTTTTAAGTTGTTTAAACAGCTTGGGTTATATACTTATCGCTATTTAGTTGAGTTAATTTTAAATCTCAAAATAAATGTTCTTTAGACAGAAGATTTGAATTTGCAAAATAATTAGCTACTCCTTTTAATTCAAAATAAAAAATTGTTTACATTGATGAGTGCAGTTTTGGGAGAAATTTAAAGTTGCAAGAAACTGGTAAAAAAAGAACACTTTTTCTTTATTACAAATTAAATCAAGCTCATCAATAAATAAATGTGATATTTTCGCTATAGATTGTGACTGGTTTATTGCTTAAAAATGTTTTATAGGAAATGTTAATCAATAGGTTTTTGGAGAATTTTTAATGAACTTCTATATAATTACATATAATTTACATTATTATAAATTTATATAATCCTGCAAAAGCAGAAAGTCAAATTGTATTTGACTATACAATGAAATAACTCTATTAGATTGTAATATATTTATTTTAATGACTGCAAAGATACATCCTTATTCCTTTTTTTCACTAATCCACTTCTAGGTAACCAATTCAAAAATATTCCAAAAATTAGTTATTTTTACATGTTTTATAATCTAAATTCATCCAAATAATTAAATAAGGATGATGATATTGGTAATAATTGATTTAGAATAAAGAATAAATTGGGGATTAATAATTAGACAATGTTAATTATTGAGTAATATGATTCTGAGATTTAAAATATTATAATGAATTATAATTAACATTCTTGAAGGTCTTTATTGAATATTCGCATTAATTAACATTGCCTATTTTAAGATTATATTGATAAAACAATATTAAGATTTGAAAAAGATAATATGAATTTAGTTTATGATTTATTGCTAAATTAAATTATTTTTATTTTAGTATTTTTATTAATTTTAATACATAAATGAATTTCAGTCGCTTGTAGAGTAAAATTAAAGTATGATAAATTAGTGAATTTTATTTATGCCAAGAAAATTATTATTTTAATTAAATTTTTTGAGTCATATTTTTATAATGATTTAACTTATAAAATTGATTGGATTATGAATCTTAAATTTTTTATAGGAATATTTAATTTAGAAATTTTTATATTTTCAAAAATAATACAAAATCCATAATTTTTAGAATCGTAATTAGAGAATAGTATATAAAACATTAATCTAATTAAATTTAATTATGATGCAAATAGGTATCTAAATGATGAAGATATTAAATAGAATAGAATTTGATTGATATAGAGATGGAATTGACTTTGGTGGAAAAATTACAATAGATCTACTAAATTTTTAATATATGAAGTAATACTATATACTAATATATATATCAATTTTTTTAACAGACATCATTTATTTGATTGCAGCAGGATCCAAAATTTCAATTAAGCACATCCTTCAAGGCAGCTTTACCAACAACTGCATTTATATTTGTAGAGGTTAACATTTTGAGAAATGAGACATAATGTGGGGACATAATTATTCTCTTTGCAAATTTAAATTTATAATTGAAACTCCAATAAAGTCATGCTAATTATCGAAATTTTATTTATTTATCAAATTAAAAGGTTGCCACATCCCATCTTTAATTAATACGCAAACATTTTTCTTCCTAAGTTATTATTGTGTATTATGGAGGGCACCTGAGTTTAGGGGACAAATCTAAATTGAAAAATTTATTTTGAGATATACAATAATTTGCCACCAAAGATTATTAAATCTATTAATAAAATAACAATTGGAAAAATTTCACAACCAAAGACATCATTAATCATCAACTATCAAAGAATATAACAAGTATTTTTCAAAGTTAAATGAAAAAGTTTATATCTAGTTTAAAATTAAATATCCATTAATATATTGTATAAAATTCTATTTTAAATTAATTGTTTCTGAATTTAATTATAATTACCTAATTTAGATATTAATAAGTCGAAAAAATTTATATTCCAACTCCATTAGCATTCTGGTTGTCTTATTTCTTGTCATTATTATTTAAACTCTTTAAAACAATTACATTTAATTTTACATAACAAAATAATTGTTATTAAATCAACAAAACTGAGAAAAATAAATTTGAAATATTTACAATAACATAAACTAAATTTTACCAAATTTTACGCAAGCTTACAAAATAGATATAAATTTTCTAATAACATTCTATTCAAATGCAATTATATAGAAATTAAAGTCCACTTTACCAATTTATAATTTTTCATATTAATTTTGTCATTTATTATATTTCATATAAGGCAATACTCTGTTATATTATTGGGATAGCCATTCACCAATTTTTTTTCCATTTTTATATTCACCAATAAACGATTCTCCCCCATCACAAATGTAATTATTCGATAATTCTATCCATTCTCCTAACTTAATTCCCTCACCTTTTTCATCATATAATCCACCGCCACTGTAATACACTTTTAAAAAACAGTTTTTACATGTAATCAAAATAATTAGTCCTATATTTCCTCTAAAAAATATCCCATCTACCACACTTTTTACCATTTTTATATTCACCATTATAAGTTACTTAGGAATAGATGTGGAAATTATCCGATACTTCCACCCATTTTCCCTGCTTAAGCCCTTCGCCATCTTCATCATATGATCCACCACCACTATAATAAACATTTAAATAACAGTATTTACATTTTTATTATTATTTTATCATAATCTCTAAGACACTTATACCAAATATCCCATTAACCTACTTTGTTACCATTTTTATATTCACCTATGTAAGTTACTTACTCATGCTCTTCGAAATTATCCCATATTTCCACCCAATTTCCCAACTTAAGTCCATCACCTGCTTCATCATATAATCCACCACCACTTGAATAAATATTTATATAATTTTATTACATTATATTTAAGTTATTCTCATCAAACACATCACACCAAATATCCCATCTACCAACTTTTTTGCCATTTTTATATTCACCATTGTAAGTTGCTTAACAATTTCTGAAATTATCTGGTAATTGCACCCATTTTCCTAGCTTAATCTCTTCGCCATCCTCATCATATAATCCACCACCACTGTAATGCACTTAAAATAATATTTTTACATGTATTTTTCTTAGTAATCATACTAACTTAAACATAAGTTCCAAATTTCCCACAAACCAACTTTTTTATCATTTTTATATTCTCCATGATAAGTTACATATTTTTATTCATCAAACCCGTCATTCAAATCAATCCACTCCCCAATTTTTAGTCCATCGCCAGCTTCATCATATAATCCACCACCACTTGAATAAATATTTATATAATTTTATTACATTATTTTTAAGTTTTTCTCATCAAACACATTACACCAAATATCCCATCTACCAACTTTTTTGCCATTTTTATATTTGCCAATATAAATTATTTACTCGTCTGATTCAAAATTCTTATTATCTGATATTTCCACCCAATTCCCTGACTAAAGTCCATCACCAACTTCATTATATGCTCCACCACCTCTACAAGACCCTTTATGAAGCATTTTTACATTTTTATGAAATGATTTCTCCTTTCATTCAAATACTCAATGTCCCATATACCTATTTTTTTACCATTCTTATATTCTCCAGTATACTTAACTTAACTATCATCCTAAAAGTTTTTCTATAACTCAACCCATTTTCCATGTTTTTAACCTTCATAATTGTATCTACCACCACCCCTATTTCGAAATAGAGAATATATATTATACATTTTTTTATTAACATAGATATATTTCCAATTATCTTTTCGTATTCCATCTTGATATTCTCCTACCTCATAAACTTTTGCTTAACTTAAAAAAAGAGAGAATATCTTACGACCAATAATTTTCAATTAATGTTATCCATTGTCCTTATTTATTTCCTGTATTTGAATAATATCCTCCTAAATTTTTCATAGTTGCACCGTTCCAAGTTGCTGTCCATTTTCCCACCTTTTGATTTAATTTTCCATATTATCCCCACCATTTTAAATTTTATATTTAATCTAAATTTGTTAAAATTTCAGGCTTCCTTGAAATATCTTCGATTAAATCTCTATAAAGGTTAATATAATACTTACACTCTAAGGATAGACCCATCTCTAGAATATTTAATTTCTTAGTTATTTGTAAAAGTTATTTGTAGCGTTGTTGTTTTTTATTCAGATGGTTTCACAGAAATATCCCAATAAATTGCTCTCAGCATTTAGGTACCTTCTTCCCAAACAAATTACTTCTCTTGGTTTATCAAAAACATACTAAATAAATTAATTTAATTTCTATTAATATTTTTTATGGATTAATATATTAATTATTAATAGAATTGTAACGATTGTACAATAAATCCTTTCTAAAATTATCTCATACTATTCCCTATTTTATGAATTTGATGAGCAAGCAAATCTTAGAATAGAATCAGAAAATTTAGATTCAGAAATTACTTAAAATAAATTATAATTCCTTTTGTTTCAAATAATAAATCAAAATTATTCAAGCCACACAATTAATTAAATAATTTTTTTAATTTTTTCTTTAAATAGGAATTATTCATGCTATAAAAAGAAAAATTTCTATTTAGATTCATTTGAAAACTAAGGAAATCTCTAAAATACTTATTGATTCAATTGCTGCAAATTTTTATCCTTATTTTTAGAAGTGATTTAATATACATGATGCCTTTAGAGCATTTAATCATTTGAAGATTTAATCATACAAAAAATAATGTAGTTTAATTTTTTAAACACCTAAGTAACTTTTTTAATTGAAAAAAAATAATATTATAGCTTATAAAATTATAATATACAGGAAAAATTAACAATAAATATATATATATAAATAAAATTAATTCGCCTGAGAATTTCAATTGTTGTATTTAAATAAAATAACAACTCTAATAATGATTATATTTGATATACTGAAAGGAATGTCGCTCGATATTTAATTATATTTACAATTTTTAATCCTAAAATAGTTTAAAAAAATACTTTGTAAAAGAACGCTTTATAATTTTTTTAATTGTTTTGAACTTATTTTTAGGGATAAAATTCAACATCTTGCAAAGAAATTTTATTCTATTGAAAAAAAAGATTTACTTTAAATTTGATTGAACGAATTTTATCTATGTTTTTCAAATTTATTGTTGTGATATTTTATCTCTTACTCAAATATTAAATTCAATTTATTTTATGAAAAATAGTTTTATATATATATCAAGTAAGTTTTGATAAGGAATATGGATTAAGAGTAGAAACATAATAATTTTCCAGTAGTTTTAGTGAGAAACTTTGAGTAGATGATTCATGAAAGTCATTATGTGCTTCATTATAATTTATAATAGCATCAGCTATTACAATGTGCAAATATGAGTTTTGAGTATTACAGTTCTAATAATTTATCTATATTGCCTCCTTTTTTGAATACACTAATAAAAATATGTTAAATTTGATTTTGTTATCACTAAATTTCAATTTGTACAACGAATTAATCTGGAAATAATATTGTGATAATGCGTTTGGCTTAATTACTCTCATAAATTTATTTTTCCTTTCTAGATTAAATACGACATAAATAATTATATTTTCAACCCTCTCGCTATAGCCAAAATAATAGTCAAATTCCCAAAGCCAAATTATTAATGTATTTAAAAGGTATTTTTGCATTAGTGTTTAAAAGGTAATAAGTATCAACCGATGTTAATTGGAGTACCCTTCACTCAAACTTAATTGCACACTTCAATTAAGGTATATAATGAGTATTGCTTCTTCTAAAATTTAATACTATCTTGCATCGTTGAAACTTAGGACAGAGTATCTGAACTATGAGTGTCTGGCTATACTTGCGGTTTTCTGAGGAGTTTTAAGCTATTAATAAAGCAATTGAATCAAAGGTTAATTTCAATAACTTTCTAGTATCTTAATTTCCTTTTGTTTTTACATAAAGATTAAAAAATAATTGGAGATTTTTAGAATTATAATATTTTTATATATGAATCCAAAGTCATTTTGGAGTGCTGTTATTGTTTTAGATTAATTTTAGATTTTATCTTTACTTTAATAATCGCAGAGAGTTTATTGGCATGCATTTTATCTAATCTATGGTGCAAGAATTACAAATAGAAAATTGAAATTCGAACTACAATATTATTTTTATGTAACTTTAATAAATTGAGCAATATATAGTAGGTTTTGATCTAATTAGTTTAAGCAAAAGATTTGTCGACAATTATAAAATTCCCATCATCTTCAAACAAAAATATTTAAATTTTAATAGTTCTAAATTAATTTTCATGATAAACGTTTAAATCTAAAGTCATTGAGATATAACTTTTTAATTTAAAGTTGGAGAGTGTATGAATTATTTTGATTAATTCTTAACTATTTGTCTTTCATAAGATTAAATAACCTAATCATAATCCAATTGTCGGAATCTTGTTATCACTTATTTTGCTTGCAATTAGTTCTCCATTTTATTATGATCATTTTATAGAATTTGAAGTAATCATTAAAAAGTGACTATAAGTTAACTAATTCTATAATCTAAGTCCTTGTCTTTATCCTAAATTCAAATTAATAAAATTGAAACTTTTGAATTTCAATATTAAATAACTTGCATTACGAATGAATATCAATTCCAAGATTCCAGTGGCCATTCAATAGAGCGAGACAACGTCATAAGAAGAAATTACAGTGACTATTAAGATGTTAATATTTATGACTAAGACTTGATTGTATTTCTATAATAAATGATTGAAAGAGATAACAAATAACTACTTGAAAAAATTATTATGAGTAAATTAATTTGATGTTAAAACTAAAGAGCAAATGAAAAAAGTTGGATAGGAAAAGTAGGATTTATCATCTCTATATTTAACGGCTCTACTTAAAAACCTTTTGATTATTTTTATGAATTGAATAATTTCTAATTTCACTTTCATTTTAATTATATAAACTTTTCCTAAGCATGCAATTCTATTTTTTAATAATATGCTTGGGTAATAATTTTTATATTTTCATTTAATACTCTTGAGCATAATAAATAAGATTGAAGAATCTAAGAAGATACTTTCTTCAAAAAATCATTTTTTAAATTAAGTGAATTATTAAAAAAACAAAAAATCATTCTTAAATTTGCAAATTTTATCTACTTCTATAATTTTGTTTAAAATAATTAATTTTGGTTATAATTAAAGGCTTAAGATAAAATACAGAATGTTGTTAATTATTTAATCTATTAAAAGGTAACTCAAATAACTTTTTAAATAAGATTAACTAACATAGATATTAAAGGAAAAATTAATCCAAATAATTTTTGATTATTATAACACTAATCAAAAGCAGAAGATAAAAATGAGAAATCAAAAGCTTTAGATATAATACTTTTTTTCCTCTTATCATTCACGTATGAATTTATTAATAAATTCTTAAAAATATAATTCAAGCTGTTATGTTAATTGATTGGATTGAATTTATTGTCTTTCTTATTATACTTTAAAGATTTACATTTTATTTGCAATAAAATAAAAGGGGCATAGATTACTTTTTTGAAAAATATAGATATCTAGACTTAGACCATAAAATTGATATTAACAAAATTGAAGTTAATCTTCAAAATGTATTTAGTAACAATACTACTTCAACTTAGATTTAAATTTATCTTCAGCAACAATCTAATAGCTCTTCAGAAGACATTATGATTACAAATTAAAATTATATTTTAATACAGTAAAGAAGCAATCAGCATATCTGATTGTTTTTATATTTTCAAGTGCTAAATTTATAGATTCCTAGATTTATCTTAATTAATCTTTATCTAATTATTCGTTTAGGAGGATTAAATAATTATAAATAGAAAATTGTAAAGGATATGGAGTATGAATTGCAAAAAATCTAGATGATAATGAAGTAAAAGCTTAATTTAGAATTTAATGCTCATATTATCAAAAAATATTGAAGCTTTTGCCATTAACTATTCATGCATCAATGTATTTTCCATTAGATGAATTGACTAAAGCGGCAAACTTCATAAAGAAAAGTCTCCAAATTATAAACCTTAAAAACTTAAGTTTTCCCCACTAACCAGCATGCAGACCATATAAATCTATTCTTTCTTTACTCATCCTAGTTGCAAGTTTTTAGGTAAAGATAAGATTTTATGACAATTTATTGTTTAACACAAAGCATAATCGTTTCTCAAAAGTTTGAAAGCAATTACCAAAAAGGCTGTTTTATAAAGCATTAATTAATTTTGATATTTTAGTACTCAGCTATTTATGATTCGAGATATTGACTTTTTGCCAATAATTCTCCACAAAACATTCTTTAATCTTGGAGAATAAATATTTAAGTTTCAGGAAAACTATGTACCATTTTTCATGGTATGCGGGATGATTGTGATAATTACTGCTAATTTAATGTTTGTCTCTATTAGTTTTTAATTTCTATCTATATTTCTTACAACTCATACAAAATAGAAATTTACAAACTAATTATGAATTTTCAAAAAATACACTGGATGATTAATTTACCCAAAATTAATCATCCAGAAAACCAAATTTGTTAATTTTTAAATATTCAATTATAATATTTCACATACTTTAAAGGACGAATTTTTTCCTGATCAAAAAAGCATTTAAAAATATTCACCCATACCCCAACTTTTTGACCATTTTTATACTCACCTTTCTCCACTTTTATTCCTTGATCATTAAAATATCCACTTGTTTCATCAAAGTCAATCCAATTTCCTGTCTTTATACCTAATTCTCCTGCATCATATGATCCACCTCCACTAATAATTCTTTTAAATAATTTATTACAATTTTTTTCTATTGAACAAAATATCCCATCTACCACATTTTTTCCCGTTTTTATATTCACCTTCATAGGTGACTAAAATATCTTTTGAAAGCTGATTACTGATAACAATCCACTTTCCAATTTTTATTTCATCGCCTCTTTCATCATACAAACCACCACCACTACCTTAGGAAACAAAAATCTACATTTTATAATTATTTTAGTCTTTGTTAAACCAGAAGTCCCATCTACCAGCTTTTTTACCATGTTTATATTCACCAGTAGAAGTTATTTAAAAGTCATTATACCCATTAATAATAATTTCAATCCAGTTCCCAATCTTAATTTCATCACCTTCATCATTATACAATCCACCACCACTAAATTATATTTTTTTAAATACATCTTTGTATCTGGTTTTTTATAAAAATCTTTTACAAAAAAATCCCATCTACCAACTTTTTTACCATTTTTATATTCACCATTTTAAGTCATATGCTATTTATCAAACTCATCAATAATTTCAATCCAATTCCCAATTTTTATGCCATTTCCTTCATCCTCATATGACCCACCACCTCTAAAATATATTTATCAAATCCCATATTTACATATTAAAATCCCCATTACAACTCCACCAAGTAACCCATTTACCAACTTTTTTACCAATTTTATATTCGCCTTCATAAGTTATGGTGGTATTCTACTCATCAAATTCAATCCAATTCCCAAATTTAACCTCATTTCCTTCTTCATCATAAGAACCGCCACCTCTAAAATGTTGATAAAACAATATTTTTGATAATAATATTTACAGCCTATAGTTTGTATTCCAGTTGTCATAAGTATCCCATTTACCAATTTTTTTTCCATTTCTATATTCACCACAATAGGTTACTTAAGAATAGTATCCAAATGTTTTGCTAATATCAATCCAATTTCCAATTTTATTTTCATATCCTCTTTCATCATATAATCCTCCACCACTACGATAATGAATAATTTAAGATATATTTAATATATTTACATTTGTTTTTAATAAGATCCAAAAACTCTGCCCCATTTCCTTTTAAAAATATCCCACCTGCCAACCTTTTTACCATTTTAATATTTCCCATGATAAGTTACTTATGTTTTAAATTACTCAAAGTTATCGCTTAGCTCTATCCACTTCCCATCTTTCTCTCCTTATTAATTGTATTCACCACCACCACTTTTAATAATTATTATATATACATTTCTTTATCTTGAGAAATATAGATCCATTTGCCTTTCTTTTTATTATTAATGTAATCTCCAATTTCAAATATTTTTTTATAACTAAAAATTATTATCTATTTTATACTCATGAAAATTTTCGATGATTTCTTTCCACTTCCCTTGTTTTTTACCATCCTAGCAATACCAACCACCAACTCCTATCAACCTTTCGCCTTTCCAAGTTGCTGTCCATAATCCAACTTTTTAATATTTTTCTCCTAGTTCCCCAATCCAATTAAAATGCTTAATTATTTCTAAATTTGTATATATTTTGGGTGTTGTAAATAAATCATTATGTTTAAAACTTATTATATCTTTGAAAATACTTGTAAATAGTTTCTTCATTTTAGATATAAAGTATATCTCTATTTTTCGTATATTGAATTTAAAACTTGGTTTTCGTTAATTTATCACTGTATTCTGCTAGACCTATATATTCTTGAATTGTTTCACTCCAAAAAATTCCTGAAAATTATGAATTAATAATTTTCATGAATTGATCAATTTTTTCTTTAAATTAAGAATTTGCTTTGTCTAATTCACTAAAATAATAACACTTTAATGAATTCCAATTATTTAAAATACCTTCTTACAAAATATTAACCATTAGCTCCAGCTAAGTATATGATACTTCTGAAGGGGGTATATCAAATTTAATTAAATTTAAATATTTCTAGTCTTATTGCTCAATCATATCATAAATAATTTTGATTGATGAATAAAATTTTGCCCACAATGTTTATAGCATTTTTTCAGTTTCACTCAACAGAGATTTAAAACTCAGTCTTGATTAATCCAATTATTTCTTATCTTCAAGTTTAAATTCTTAAAACTTCTTTTAGAGTTGATCTTAAAATAACATAATAGGTAATAGTTATTGAAGCTCAACATTATGTTCATATGCACACTATGCACAAAGCTTTCTTTAGCATTCATGCTTTGCTACACAAATTACTGTTATTGGATTTTATGGATGATCAGAGCAATTCATTTAATCACCAATAAATACTGTTTAATTAATTAAATAAATAAATATTAAAGGTTTTTCATCAAATTAAAAGAAGAAGATGATATTTTAATATTAATGAATAAGTTTTGTAGATTCAAATATTAAATCGATTTATTCCTTATCAAAAAAGACTTGAGAAAATTTATTAATCTAATAATATTAATTTCATTAACTGTTTTTTTGGGGGAAATTTTTAATTCCAATCATCTAAAATAAATTAAACCAGTGTGGATTTTAATGAACTAAATAAATTTCTTTTCAAAATCAATAATTTGAAGGAATAATAAAAAATACTAAATTGTTATTAGATATGACAATCCAAATTGTTCAAAAGCAGATTTTTTATTATTAATTCTTAATAGAAATTGATTAATTGAAAAATGAGAAAATAAAAATAAAGTAATAATGAAAATAGCAATATTAAATAATTCTAAATGTATTAATAGGGGAAATTCGTTTAGCGAATTAATTAGTTCAGAATTTTTTGATTTGAAAATGTAAATATCTCTTGAATTTTCAAGATTAACTAATCATAAGAAAAATTAATTCTTTAATATTGTGATATCAATTTATATTTGGCGTATCTCCTGAAAATTAATTACCATAGCAATAGGATTTCAATGAAAATAGAGAATACGGAACTTATAGATGATACACAGCCTCCTTTACTAGACTTGCTACTACTCCAGTTATATGTCTTTACACTATTACTATAACAGTTATTAGAATTAAAATCATCAGGATTGGCTTCTTTAGACTATCCTGTTTTAGTATAGTTACTTGATTTCTATAACTATATGTATATTCCATTCGCATGGAATTAAATTATTTGTAATTAAAACTATGGTTTCTTAATTATCAATATGGACCTATTGTTGGAGCTCCAAATTGGCATTAAGATTCCATATTTTATCTTGAACATGTCATATCTTTACACATGTAGGATTGAGCATCGAAATAGCAAACAAGATTTAGTTTTATTAGACCACAATTCCTTACAAGATTATATGCTTACCCTGTGGAGAAAAATAATTATTACAAATGTCTGGATCCTTTGTATCTGAACACTTCTATAGATATTCCATGGACAAACAATTAATTCCATTTTAAGCAGGAAAGTAGATATTGGCTGCAATGCATTCAGATTGATCTTTTCCTGGAATGGCTTTACAGAATGTAAAATCATGACATTACTTATTGAGCCAATAACTTCGATTCGATGACTAAATACAATGTTCGATATCAGAACAGGCCATGTCAACACACTATTTTTTATGAGTATTCCAAGAACAATCAGAAAAGCCATTGTAGCAATTAGTAGAATAGATCAATTCTGAACATTTGCAACTATTGTTTAAATCCAAACTAGCTGATTTACTGAGGGAGGCTGTATGATTAAATTTTTTCTAAATAATGATATTAATTATCAAGATAATTGTTATTGAATCCATACTTAATAATTGTTTAATGACAAATTAAATTTCGAAAATTATAATATTCAAGTTTAAATTCAATATTTCATATTGTGGAAATTAGTGTTATAAAAAGTTAAATTAATTTTAAGAGAAAATGCTATTAAAATATGTTTGTAATAAATAGAGTATTTATTATCAACACTACTTAATTATATTAAATATATTTTCATCCTATTAAGAAGAGCTGCTCTATGTAGTGTTAAATTGAATTTATAGTTTGTCATCCAATTCCTTATTGCAATTTTCCATTGGTTTACATAGTTATTTCTATTTACTCAATTATTCTTCTAATCTACATGAATTGATATTTCATTTACAATTAGTTTTTTATTGTAATTAGGCAAATTTTAATCTCAATATCAAGAAGCTTTTATTCTTCTATTTTCAATTCTTAAGAAGTAATGTTTTAATAAGGAATTAGATAACCTGTTGTTATTTTTATACATGAGGTATCATTTATATCTATCATTTAGAATCACTAAATTTGTTGTAATTGTAATCATTGTTTTATTAAAAATTGAGATTAATAAAGCACTTTTTAAAAAGAATATATTGTATAGTCTTTTCTGGAGATCTTGCAGTGCATTTAGTTAAAAGGTGTATTAAAATAAAATGTTTAATTTTACATAATATTATATAAATTCATCTTTATTTTAAATATAAATCACTTTCACAAAACCTTTGAATATCTTATTTTAAATATTAATTGTCATAATTTCCTTTTATATTTTTTCAATACGTTTAATATCTATCTAGATATTTATTTATGAAATTAATATCATAGATTCAATATTATATAAAAAATTGTTCTTTAAAATATTACAAATTGCTTTATTAGACTTTGAATTTGCTTAAAGGTTTTTCTTATTTTGCTTTCCCTTTTGAATAGAGAAACCAATTAGTATCATCATCCTCATCTAATATTTTTTTATTCTTCTTGTTGTGTTTATTTGTTTTGTTATTATTATATTATTTCGACCTTGTTGTAATTCATTAATTAGATGGTCATTCCTTCAAATATAAAATATATTTTAAAAGAAAAAATTTCTCCCCAAAGCTCCTGATAAAAATTATTTCTTAAGATTATTCCAATTTATAAATACTTTTTTATAAGATTATTTCTTTTTATAAATCTTCGTTAATATATAGAATTATGAAATATTGTTTACAAATCGAATATTAAAGATTATCATTAGAAAAATATGATGGTAATCAAAATAAACATATGAATTTATATAATTATATGTTCATTAATAATTTATTTTCTCAGAATTATTAATTAATTAATTTAATGAATTCGGAAATAATGTACAATAATTTTTAAATATAGCAATGGTGGATAATTTGACAAGAATGGATTAAAGGAGGGTTGGTGGATTGAGTTTAATGATAGCATAACTAAGTATGTATTATAATGATTTTAAAGTCAGAGTCAAGTTTCTTATTACTTTGGAGAATATATGTTAGGAAAAAAAATTGGTAGATGGGAAACTAAAATTAAGTTTGACAACTTTATTGAATTTGAAGTGATGTAGAGAATTATTAATAATTAAAGTGGTGGAGGAATATATGATTAGAATGAAATCAAAATTGGTTAATGGGTGGAATTAGTTAATAATTATTCAAAGTATTGTCATACTAAATAGTAAAAATTAGGTTAAATATTCCGGTGTTTATAAAAAAGGATACAAAAGTGGTTAATGGTATACTTTATAAAAATAAGAAAATGATTTTGAGATTGCGTAATAATTATAGAATATTCATTAAGTGGAGGGGGATTTTATGAAGAAGGATTGAAAATTGGAAAATGGATGGAATTGAGTTCAAATAATGACTATCACTTCACTCATATTGGAGAATATAATCAAGGTTTAAGGATTAATAGATGGAATATTTTATTTTTGAATTCAGATACTGATGATTACAAAATTATGTATTTGAAAAAATATGATTCATAGAGGTGGAGGTTCATATAATTTAAATGGAATGAAGCATGGAAAATGGGTAGAAGTATAGAATAAAAAAGGAGAGTAATTAAATTTATAATTAGATTTGACATATTTGCTTACTCTGGAGAATATAAAAATGGAAAAAAATATGGTAAATGGGAGATTCTTTAAGGATCAATTACAAAACATGAATATTTTATTATGTATAATTTATTATAAACGGTTTAGCGGAGGAGGTAGTTTTGATGAAAATGGATTTCAACAAGGCTTATGGATGGATATAGAATAATGTTCATTTTAGTTTGATTAATTTAATTACGATGGATTATTTGTTCTTTCTATTGGTAAATATTAAAAAGGGAAGAAAATTGAAAAATGGGATACCATATTTCATATTGATAGAGTAAAGGAAGCTAAAAATTTGTAAATTATTTTATGATAACAAAAGGGGAGGCGGATAGTTTGATGAAAATGGAATCAAGCAGGGTTAGTGGACTGAAATACATGATACATTTCATAGGTTTCTAATTTGAATAAATAGTAGTGAGAAATAAATAACTTATTTTGGATTTTATAAAGATGGAGTAAAAGTTGACAAATGGGAGACAAATTATATGAAGAAAGGCCAATATGAATTCATGATTATGTATTTTAAATGTTTTATAGACTTAAGTGGTGGTGGCATTTTTGATAAGAATGGATTGAAATAAGGCAAATGGATGGAGTTACATGAAAACTTTGATAAGTACTTTGGTTATTTATCTTTAGTAATCTGCTGGTTACATATTATGGTAACTATGAATTTGGCAAAAAGATTGGAAGATGGGACACTTTATTACTTTAAGTTGATGAATCAATAGACAATTCTGATTGGTAATTATTATTGATATGTATAGTTATTCTGAATCATCAAGCTAAAATTATAATTCGGTAGATGTATCTATGAAGTAAACTTTTATTATTTTAAGCAATTCATTTTAATAAAATAATTTAAAAAATTAGAATTAAATAGAAGAAGTTGATGATTAAAAAGAAGGAATTGACTTCATTTAATACTGTCAAAAAGAATTTAACATTATGTAAATTAATTTTAATATTTAGTGGAGGTGGATAATTTGATAAAGATTAGACAAAGCATGGATTTTGGATAGAAAATTATTTTGATAAATCATTAAAGTATTTTTATATATTAAAAGATTAGTGGAACTATTGTTAAGGGGAATTATAATTAAGGAAAAAGGGTAGGAGATTGGATGTCATTTTCTTATAATAATCAAAATAAAAAAATGTATTTATAATATATAATTTAGTGGAGGTGGATATTTTGATTAGAATGGAATCAAGTAAGGTTAATGGTTAGAATTGCGTTCATATTTCAAAAAGTTTATTTATAAAAAGATTTAATAGCAACTGTCTTATCGACTTTGGAGATTATAAAGATGGTATAAAAATAGGTAGATGGGATATTGTATAATAAATAGATAATACTCCTCAATATTCAATTATGTAACTTATAATGAATAATAAATAGTGGTGGAGGATCTTACGACTTAAATGGCCAAAAATATGGTGAATGGATTGATGTACAAAAACTTAGTTTGTAAGATTTAAATTTATATAGCTCTTATTCTTTAATAACAATATTCAAAGGTGAATATAAAAATGGGAAGAAATTTGATAATTGGGATATAAAATAGAGTTTAAAATATTGTGAGAAATTTAAACCAATGTAAGAACTTATTAAATACAAAGATGTGGAGGATAGTTTGATATAGATGGTCAAAAACAAGGTTGGTGGTTAGAATATTGTAAAAATTAAAAGTATTTCTGAACTCTTATTATAGATTCAAATAAATAATATTTATTGGATAATATAGAAATGGATTAAAAATTGGTAAATGGGAGTAGATGAATATAGATGAAGATAGCTCTAATTTTTAAATCAGGTATAAAAAAATACATAAAAAATAGATATGCAGGATTATTTGATGAGAATGGATTGAAGCATGGCATATGGTACTTGAATTCAAAAAGTAATCAAAGGTAATACTAATTTTATCTTATTTTAGTAACACTTACAAAGTATAATACAAAAAAGGGTTTAGAATTAGTGCATGCAAAAAAAATTTATAATCAATATCCTTGTTTTGACATTGAATTGAATATTGATATAAAAATACATAAATAAACTGCAATGTTTCTTTTATATATAAGACCATAAAATTTATGATTAAATAAAGAAGTAATTTTTGTATTCAAAATCTCTAATTGAGAATTGTAAATTTACAAAATGTTTTTAGAATAAAAATTCCATAATTTAATTAGAAGTATTAAATTAAAAAATAAGAAATTATTTTTAAATACTTGAATAATATATTCTAAAAGAAAATTTGTTAATTAAATGATTCAATATAATTTATATATTTTAAACAAATTAATATATTCATTTTTTTGTTTATTATTATTAAATCTTTTATTAATGTTATATACTGTTGTTAAAAATACATAAACCCCTTTTATTCAATGATATTCCTAAAATTAAAAAATTATAAATTTATCATTTATAATCCGAAACTGAGAGATTAGCTTTAAAGTTTCAAGTATTTAAATAATAAATTTGTTTCTTAAATCATATTATTTATATGAAGAACTATTATTTATTAATTACTGTACTTAAGGGGATAATTATTATCATAAATTTTTATTTCTTTTTAAGCAAAATTATTAGAAACCTTTTGTTAAGAATTAACTCCTAAAATATAATGTTTTAGCAAATTCCCATTTTAGTGGTGAAAAATGTTATGGGAATCTTAAAATAATTATTTAAACTAGTGTTGGATAATGATTATGAAGTAAAAAAAAGAATGGTTAAATGTAATAATTGGTGATTTTTAGTATTAAATTTTTGAGTATTAGATGAATTATTGAAACTTGATTAATTTATGGGCTCTATTAGAATATTGAGAGTGAAATCAAATTGTATTCCAATTATTCTAACCATTGCCTTTTTAATTGTATTTTTATTGCTAATATGATTACAAATGAAGGTTATAAAATGAGTGTAAGATTCAGTTTTTATTATATTATATTATATTAAATTATAATATCAATATTCATAATTAATTTCTCACAATTTTTTATTTTCATTTAAATCTATTAGCAACCAAATTCCAATTTTCTTACCATTTTAATAATCTCCATTTTTCATAACTTAAAAAGAATCATTGAATCCTTAATAATTTTCTACCCAAGTACCCTACTTAATCCCATTTCCACCTTTATCATATGATCCACCTCCACTGAAAAACCTGCGCGAAACATTTTTATATAATATAATTACATTTTTTTTTTTTATTTTTTATCCGAAACCTTGAGCCAAATGTCCCACCTTCCAACTTTTTTACCATTTTGATAATTCCCATCATAAGTTATTTCTTTAAAAGTAAATTAAGATCTATAAAACTAGTTATCCAAATCAATCCATTTCACACTCTTAAAACCATTACCTCTTTCATCAGATGATCCACTAATAAATTTTAAAATGTTTAAAATATTGAATACATTAATTTATGATTTAACCCAAAAATTAACCCCTTCTTAATTAAACAAATATCCCATCTACTTTTTTACCATGATCATATTCCCCTTTATAAATAAGCTAGTTTGAATAATTAAACTTATTATTTAATTCTATCCACTTTCAAATCTTTATGTCATCACATATTTTATCATATGATCCTCCCCCTCAAATGAATATACTACTTAATACACCAAATATCCCATATATCAAATTTTTTACCAGTTTTATACTCACCAATATGAGTTATTTATTTCCCATTATAAAATCCTTTATCCAATTCAATCCTCTTCCCAATTTTCATTCCATTACATTTTTAGTCATATAGTCCACCACCACTAAAGCATTCATAAATTTCCTCTTCTTATAAAATCATTTACATATATTATAATGGTAAAACATCATATTTATTTTACAAATTTCCCATAACCCTACTTTTTTTCCAAATTTATATTCACCAGTATAAATTACTTATGTTTTATTCTAAAATCCATCAATCAATTCAATCCATTTACCATTCTTTTAACCTTTCAAATTGTATTTTCCACCACCACTATATAATTATTGATTATTTTAAATACATCTTTTTTTATTATTATAAATAAACCCAATTATTTTACCTTAAGCCTTTAAAATATTCTCCAAATTCTTAAACTTATGCTTTCATGAAGATATCTTAAGATTGATAATTGTTTATCAGTTCCTTCCATAATCCTTATTTTTTCCATCATTTAAGTACCATTCACTACATTATGTAAAGTTTCGCCTATCCAAGTGGCTTTCCATTTGCCTACTTTTTAGTTCTTTTATCCATATGATCCTAACCATTCAAGATTTTATATCTATTCCAAATTATTCCAACCCTCAAGTTCTATATCATAACTTTTTTCTTCTTTTCTTTTTATTAAGAGTCAATTATTTACATTTTTTAAAGTTAACCATCAACAAAATATTATATCTCATTATCTTTAGTCAAAACTATTTTAAATTTCTTCAAAATGGATTTATAATATTGTGATTCCCAAAATTCATATTTTTATTATTTAATGATATTTTTTTATTAATGATTGCTAGCTTGTGGCTAAAATTATTCAAAATCTTTAATTGTAATCATTTATATTGCTTTCTTAAAGAGATTAATTCATAAATTAAGTTTTAATAATAGAAATTTAATAAGCTAATCAATTTTTGTTTCTGTTCTCAAAAAAATGCTTCGTCATTTATAGATTAATTGCATCTTCAAGTCACCTTTCCATTATCAAATATAATATCTTAGAAATATTTAAACACACATTTCTTCTTATTTTGCATTTGAGATACAAAATTTTAAATAAATTATTTATATAATTATGTATATGAATATCTTGGTTTCGATAGAATTGATATAATATTTATTAATTACATCTACCAATCTTTAAAGTATGTATATATTAATATTTTTTTTGAAGTAATATAATATGATTTAGTGTTATTGGTCTAATATACGAATTCATTTACTCAATATACAATTATGTAAATATCACAAAATAGGTGGATTCTGAAAAAAGGAGCAAAATAATATTTATTTTCAATAGGGTAAAAATGTATTACTCAATATTATTTATAAATTTAAATATTTGTTTCACATAATTGAAATCATATTCTTCTTCAAATTAATTTATGCTTCTGTAAAATAATAATTTTTAAGAAGTTCATACTAATAAACAGAGTAGAGAATTTTATACCATCATCCCAATTAAAGTACTAGCTTAACTATTCAATCTTACCTTCTCTTCATATATAACTTACTTTTTTATTATTTCTATTATTATCAATTTTCTAATTAGGCCAAATATCAATTATTCTTATATAATATTTTATATTTTATTAATAATAAAATATTCATTCTTAAAGCTATTTTATGCAAATTTATCCAGAGTCTAAATCTGATGTTACTACAATTTAACCATTCTTAATAATAATTCCTATTTATTAACCATGTTCAACACAATATTCAATTTTAAAATCTCCATTTTGATCAATTTTAATTATATTCAATTTTGAATTAATGGAAATTAATAAGAATTACTTTAATTTTCTAAATTGAATAATAATTATATCAGCTGAAATAAATCTTCCAGATAAAAATTTAATAACTCTTGTTTTTTAAAACTATTTATAATTATAATTTTAAGTATAAATACACAACCTATTATTTTCGAAAGCTAAAAATTACTAATTCTAGATAAATTTGGCATAACGCTTTTTATCTTAAGTTTAGATTTTTTATAAAATATCCCATTTTTTGCTTAATTTTATCTCTAAATAATCTAAATTATCAGTTCACGGCTATAAATAATAGTATTCTCAGAGTCATTATTATCAGCACTAAAAATATAAGCACTCTTTAGAAATTAATCTTCTTAAAATTCCCATTATTCATCATAACTTTTTTGATATAAAATTCATAATTAAACGATTCATAATATTAATGACGTCCTAATTAAAAAATTTATGGGTCAAAGATATAAATCTGTCTGTGCGATTAATGAAAAGTAATTAAAAGGTTTCTCTTTTTTAATGAATTTTATTTCTTTTAAAGATTAATTTTTAAATTCATAAATTTTGATACAACTCTAAAATCCACATATAACTAAAGATGAATCTGAATTTAAAACTATTGTTTAAAATGTCTCATTTTCCTTTATTTTACATTACTTTACAGGATAAAATTAGAAAAGACCCATCTACTGTATTATTTAAATAATTACTTCTTGTAAACTTGAAATTTAATTTATTAATAAAAATGATTTAATGTATAGTTATAATTCATGAATACTTTCATTAAGAGTTTGACGTAATATTTAAGTATTTTAGTTGATCTTCATTATAAACTTCCTCTGGTATTTTTTGAACTTGACCATATTAGTCAATGCTATATTTATGTTATTTACCTTTAAGCATTTCAACCTATCTAATGTCCATTCAAATTTATTATAAAGATGCTATTTTAAATCTTTGAAAAAATAACATAGTTCTTCAATATTTTATCAAAGTCCTTTTTTATCTCTTAAAATTAAGTATTACCTTCTCATAAATAATTAGGCAATTCATCTATTTTAAATATATATTTATTATGATGAATGTGTTTTTATCATTCTTTATACATTAATTAAAACAATGAAACCTGTTATCGATGCAATTATCACCTAATTTAAGATTTTGATTGCTTTAAAAATTATGAACTTTAATATGACTCGAATTTTTTAATTGAATAAATCTAAGTCTCGAATTCACAAAAGTTTAAGACGTATTTAAGGACCTTCTAGAAAATATAAATTTAAAAATTACTTTTGATTAAATATTGAAAATATCTTATTAATTCTGATATTTAATTTCTAAAAAACAATTCACTTTAATAGTATGATTTCATGAATAACTTGGATGGAAATAATCATATAATTATCATTAGATTATAAATGATTGAAAAAAAATCATATATTTCAAGCATGAAATAAATGGTATTATTTATAAGATTTTCATTTAAAAAGAGGTAAAATATGCACTTTGAACATAATTATTTTAAATACTCAAAAATACCACTATTTAAATAATAGTACTATGCTAATTCACATTATATTTGCTTTGAATGAAAAAAAAATTTATGTTGATTTTTGTTTCATCACTTCAAATTGAATGAATATTGATTCATAGATCTACTAACTTGAAGATTTAAAAAAATAAATATTTTGATGTTTCAATTGAATATATTCAAGTGTAAATGATTAAGTTTAAAATAAATCAGCATAAAAGCACCTTCAAGTTTAATATCATCATTTATTCTTGAATTTTTCTTTAGTATTAGTATTATTGATTGAATTCATTAAATATGCCAAATAATGATAATATCTTTATTTAATAAAGATAAATAATTTAAGTTAATTGGCTTCTAAAGAAATAATGTATTAAATCTTTTCGAGTTATTATTTAATTGATATATTTTAATTTGTAAATTATGGAGGGAGTATTAATAATTTAATAAGAATTTTATCGTTTTTTTCATATAGCAAGAAAAATAAGAATTAATTAATGGATTTAGCATTAAAATATTGGTTAATTATAAATTCGACGAGGAATCTAACATATTAACAACGTGCGATTAGTAATTGCTACACATCAAAATTGAAAAAAATTATAAATAATAGACAATCTTTTATCACTTAACTTGCTAATAACTCATTCATTTTTAGTTTTACTACAACCTTTTATCAGATTTGATACAGAAAAGTTATTAAAAAATTGTATTCTGCTCTTCGCTAGACATTTCTTACATTTAGTTTCCTTTGTATTTCATTTTAGTTAGTTGTTTATTAGACTCAATTTTCTAATCTTAAAGATTTATGAATAATCCAAATATTATAATTTAAATTTATTTTTGTTTTTGTCATCAGAAAATTCTACAATTCTATTTAAAAATCCCTGTTAAAGAGCCTTCCTCCAGATAAACAAAGATTAGAAATTGTTTAACTTCTAAATAATATCCAGTTCTTTTCAGGAGAACTTCATTTTGAATTTTTTTCTTAAAGAGTGGTTAAAAAGACTTTGTCTCTTCTTCAATTGAGCGCTGATTTTTGCTTCTTACTTTAGACTCTTCATTCAGTAACATGATTTTTTTTTGAATAAAAAAAACTAACTAAGAAATTGAAATTTCATTCTCCATCACAATCTATTTAATTTCAAATTTTGAGGCAATAGTTAAAACATTTTTATCATTAATTTGGTAATTTTTTAATCACCATTTTTAATTCTGAATTTTTAAATCATGCTTTTCTAAAGATCTAATATTAGAGGGATAATTAATTAACTACACTAAAAAGTGAACAAGAAACCAGAATGTGAGAGATGTATCGAGTTGAGGTTTTAATAAAAATTCAAAAAGAAAAAAACATTTAATGTCATCCTTTTAAAAATTTTAATTATTATAAATTTTAATTAAATGGAAAAGAAATAATTTTTTTTTGTTATTGTTAAATTTACAGTTGCTATAACCTGCTAGTTACTTTTAGTTTTTGAGATGGAGAAGTGAACATTTACAATGATATTTTAGAGGATATATGAGTAGAAGGTTTGTTAAGGTTATTTGATTTCTTATAAAAGTTGCTAAGATTTAGCATCAGATAATAGGAGGCTGATAAGGAGATTGAAATTCAAAATGAAGAGGAAAAACTGTATTAATTGTAGATATATTCCAATGAATATAATATAATGTGTAAAGAGACTAAATTATTAGGAATAAATTAGGTAAAATTTCTTATTAATATTATCATAACCTTTGAACATAATTGATTTATAATGAATTCTTAATGAAACTTTTATTAAATTTTGGAAATAATATAAACCTTTGAAAAGAGTTTTATATGTGAGTAAAATTAAATATCAGGGAAAATATAAAAGAAAATTTTGAGAAAAAATAAAAGCAGTGATGTGAAAGTCAGCACAACTTTTCTTTTTAAAGATGATTTTACTTTAGATGTTTACAAAATTAAGAATTTTCTTCAATTAGATATTCTAATGTTTGGAAACAGTCAAAGAGTATAAAATGAAAAATGAAATATCCTGTAATGGAATTCTTAGGAGAGTTTAAATAAAAGTTATCAAAAGGTTAAATTCAATTTACTGATAGGCTAGTAACAGATTATTATAAATAAAAACAGAGCCTGGAATAATAGAGGAGTAGACACCTTATCGAATAGTAGTTTTAGATTAATAAGAATTCAAGTTATGTATTTCAAATCTAAATATAACTATTATATTAGGTGCTTTAAGCATTTATTAAATTTTTCATATCTTTATTTGACAAAAAAAATAAAATAGAAGAAATACTAAAATATAAGAATTCTTGTACCTGTTTATTCTGAACAGTTAGATATTAAATAACCTACTAATGTTTTCTTTATGAAAGGAAATCAAATTAAATATTCTATTGAGATTGATTAAACAAAAGAATTAACTCAATAAATAGTGAATAATTCTAAGAAATATTTATATCTTTTTTATTTAGTAGATAGTAATATGATTGGTTAAAATTTGTAAATCAATCAAAAAATTGTGAAAATTAAAATGAATCCTTTAAATTTGCCTACCAATTTTATAAATTTGAACATAAAAATTTTATGCTAAACCAGAGCATTATGTTTAACAAAAATTTTAGATTAACATTAATCTTATTTAAGATTAATTTAATAATTATTATAGAATAAATAACAAACAGTAATCATTCTGCTTGATTTAATTTAAAAGATAAGTTTATATAAAAGAAGAAGTTTAAAGTATAATTATAATTTAGATTAAAGAACCAGATGATTAAATGATATATTGAATTAATTTATCATTTAATCCAAAAAGCAGAGCTCGGTAATTTCTGATTATTTGGTTTTATAAAATTTGAGAATAATCTCAAATAAGTAATCTTTACACTTGAATAAATCCATCTTATGTTATTTATTTATAGTTTGTATAGAGAAATTTGATTATTTAATATCTTCAATGATTATAATAAACACTATTAATATTGGTTCAAAATTTTTGATTTAGTGACATAGATGATCTATATTTAATAAAGGAAAATTAAAATTAATAAAAAAGATACAGAAAATATACTACAATTATTTTTGTATTCAAAATATTCGAACGCATTTCCCTATCAAACTTAGGTAATAAAATATTAAGAAAGAAAGAAAATCGATTGGCTATTTTCTATAACTTGATGAAATTTTCAAGGATAACTATCAAGATATTTTAATGTTGATGGCAATTATTTTTTTGTGTTTCACCAAAATTTTCTTGAAGATAAATCAGAACAATCCATATTTTCAACCTTATTAATAATAGTTCAGAGAAATATTTATTATGATGAAATTGAGAGGAAACTATGTTTGGTAATTAAAAAAAAAAAAAAAAATTATTAAATTTAATAAAAAAGGATTCTCCAGGATTTTATAGGATAAACAATATCACATTGAATAGCTAGTATTTATATATATTTGTTATAATATTCTAAAAAATTGACCTTATAATTTTATTGCTTTAAAAAATTC